TGACGCTACTTAGATTATTCGTTCAAGAAGTTGGCGGCGTTAAGAAGCATCGAGTATACGGTCTCGGTTCACAAGCATCTATTTGCTTTGGTCACTCCAAGCACTCTATCGCTTCTGCTAACATCTCTCCTTCAAGAACAAAGATGGTGATTGATGCTCAAATTCAGGAAACGTTAAAGCAACGAATGGAAGAGCTGGAGAGTGCCAACAGGAGGTTGCAAACAGCAACAACAGTTGAATGCAAGAAAAGTTGCAGCAGCAATTACAGCAGGCAAGTTGCAGAGCTTGTCGCACTCATTTCGCAACCTACAGTTCCGCCAGCTCCTACTTCACAGCATCTTTCGTCAACAGACTCTTCAAGATACTCACACTAATGCTCAAGTGATGATGGTAATATCTAGGTAGACTTTAGTTGATTTGTATTAAAAGATATAAGTTAATTAGTACCTATAAGACTTGCAAATTGGTTTGTAATTTGTGAAAAATTTAAATGTTGGCTTAATATTTAATGTATACTTAAAAACTATTTAAATGTTATGTTAACTTTTCTCTAGTTTGATTTAATTAAATTTCATTATAAATTATAAATTTAAAATTAGAAAAATATGGCAAGATTAAAATATTAAAAATAATGGAATTTTTTCAAAACTGGAATAAATAGAATGGACCAATAACGTACTAATATTTCAACCACCAATTAGAAACGGATTTAGCAAAGGTAAAATTTTGGAGTACTTGTTCTAAATGTTAAATAACGGATATAAAATGGATAAAATGTATTAGAAAGCGTAAATAGCAGATTAGCGACAGATGAGAAACCCAGATATAGAGATGAAATAGAAGTGGATCGAAAGACAGAAATTTTGTTGCTATGAGGTCCAGGACCTTAGAAACGGTTTATGGGAAACTAGCAACGGATAATATCCATAACAGTTCCAAAATCCATTTCTAAACTGATTTACGAAAACACCCCAAAGTTGTCACGAAACTCCGGATCCGTTCTGAATCTGTTTCTAAACTGTTTTTAGGCAACGGAATTTGAATTTCAATTTAGAAACGGAAATTCGTTGCTATTCGGCAATTTTTCTGTAGTGTACTAATGGCAATAGTATCAATAACTACTATGTCTAGTACATTAAAGAAAAGAATATATGTCTATACACGTAAATTCTGAAACACTAAAAAGTAACCCAAGTATAAATATAAGTTTTAATTTTTTCAGTTTCCTAAATACTATTTCTTTTAAATTTTAAAATAATAAAGAAAAAATATGAAGAAAATTAAAAATGCTAATCATCAATAGGCCAATTAAATTTATTGCAAGTGAAGATATAAATCTCTTACTAAATTAAATGATAGTAATTACAAATTATTCAGTAACGAAAAAGAAAATAAAAAATTATTTTTAAAGAATAAACTCCTTTCAAAAACTCATCTAACAAACAATTCTTTCAAATATAGAATATAAATAAAAATTATAAATATTTTTTTTAAATTAAAATTTTTAATTATTTGTCATCTCACATTTAATTATGTGAAATTCTATTGAAAATTTACTTTTTAAAAAATAATATTCAATCAAATCTTATCGATGATTAAAGAAGAAAGTGTTAATAAAAATAATAACTTTTTTCTTCTCTTTTTGTCTCTCAACCTAAGGTAAAATATTATATATATTTATTTAAAAATTATTTATTAAAAAAATATATCCAATCAAAATCATAACAACATAAGAAAAAATAATATATTTCTTTTTTTATCTTATCTTTAAATATATTTAAATTATAATCCAATAGAATTAAATAATTTTAATAATAAAATATAAAAAATTTTCAATGTCCTCATTGTCATATATATTTATCAAAAAATAATTTAGTAAAGACAAACTTAAAATTTTGAAATGCTTAATTATCTATCTATTATTTTAAAAAATAATTTTTTTAAATTCATTAAGAGTCTTGGAGGGCGAATAACACTGGCGCACTATACAACAGGAATAACCTCTCATCCTAGACTTATAAAATTAGTGAAAACATTTGTGGTAAAAAAAATCGAACTCGAGTACCTCTCACTCTTCACATAAGTGAGAAGACAATAAACCAAACACAATTGGTTTAAAAAATAATTTTTATAAATATATCCAATCAACCAATAAAATATAATTTTAATTGATTATGACTAAAGTTATTTTAAATATCCTAAACTTTATTAATATGTTTCGAAATCCTCATTATTCCTCGTATTTTCACAATTATTCCTCTAAATAACACGTTCTAAAGAGATTAGAAATGATGCTGCCTGCCGAGTAAACTGTCTTCGGACCAATTAATTTGAAAAGAAAAAAGGTTCACTTCTGGATAAGAATTTCCTTTATTTATTATTTCCTTTGCATCTTTTTAAAATTCCAGATAGAGAATTACTTCAAATTTCTAAAATAGGATCGAAATTAGTAATTTTAATTCATATTATTGACAAAATCACTTTCAATCCTTAAAATTTAGTTTTTCCAAACTAATTTAATTCATTTCATCCAAAACTATAAGCTTTTATCTCTCAGGCTTCCATTTGTTTCCCGTAAATAACTTACTTTTATAATTTTTTATTGTTTTGAAAGTATTCAATAAATAAATTCAACAGACAATATTTTTCCTGATCAAAAAGGAATTAAATCATTTTTTAAGGAAAATAACTTTCCTATCTTTAGTCCTGTAAAATATTTTCCAGACTTTAAAACAATTTATTATAATCTTATAAATCCATATTTTGTTAATGTTATTACTCATCAGTAGTCACTACACCAATCACCACGACCGGCACCATCGACTACACCGCCAGCACCCGACGACTTTGATAATTTATCTTTTTTTTTTTTTTTTTTTTTTTTTTTTGCATTATTCTCATTTAACAATAAAATTTTTAAAATACAAAATATATATTATTAGTATTTTTATTTTTATGGTCTTATGAATTAAAAATTTTAATATTTTTAACTAATTTTCTAATTGCAACCAAACAACGGAAAATAAATCATTTAAAAAATATTTTTCTTTAAAAATACTTTCCAAATATAAGTTATTTTCTGGAAACAAATGGAGCCTAAATTTCAATAAAAAGATAAAAATATCTAAATTGACTAAAGTAGAAAGATGAGCAAACGAAAGAACGAAAATCAGAAAACAACGTAAGAACTCCTTACCGCTGAATTGGCTAAAAACTTGCAGAATAGGTTCCCATCACTCAATTGTCCTTTGTTGAAAACTAATTATTAATCATGCCAGTTAGGTTGAGTATATGCAGCAAAATGTATGTATACCACCCGATTCAGGTGGTAATACCCAAAATAAACCTTCACAGTACAGAGAATAAATGAGCTTCTCAAGTTAGGCTCTTTATATAATTTTTTTTTTTTTAAACTTATGTAAGCTAAACTTCCAAGAGGAAGGAAAAAAGTTGATCTTTGTAAAACAGAGTCCGGCTGAGACGCATCATGGAGCAAGCCTAAGTGGGTCGCGAGGGAAAAGTGATGTTTTGCGAGGGAAAATAGTGATGTTTTTTGCAATGTTATTAGAACGCTGCAGAATAAGACATTAGCTCAACGCTCTAACCCCACCCAAACCCAAACCGTGAGGAGCGCACCAAACTGCAAGATGAAGATAATAGGATTATGGTAGAATCTGTAGAGCAAAATTCCTAATCCTCCAGCCTATAATTCATAAAGCAGAAAAAAATTGAAATAATAGATTCAACTTGGAGAATTTCCAACACTCAAATCACAAAATTGCAAATGTTCAGACTCCCTTCTAGTTGGAGAGCCTAAAATATACTTCAGCCTACTAAATGTTCATCCATAATACATTGTCCCACACTTAAAGTCTTTCAACTGATCTTGTGCAACCAATGCCAGAAATAGTAAAAAAAAAATTCTCAAAGTAGGGCATTTGTGGGTTAGAACCAACACTGACATGTTATACACAACAAAAGGCCATCTTTTCCTTAAAATTTAAGCCAAACAACATTCCCCCAACTGGACCAAATATTAGAAATCAATTGCATCAATAGAACAAAGACAGCAAACACGAGCGTCTATGCCCAACTACTGGGATGCTATTTCCATATCAGTGAGAATTTCAAAGAAAAGGAACCGCCGAAGCATTCCCAAGAACCTTACTGACAACAAAGAAATAACTTTATTTGAAAAATGGCATAAAATATACACTAAAATTAAATTTAGGCACTAATAGAAATTCAAGCATTTATGTTCTTATTATCACTTAATATTGTAAATTTTCCCTTTTCATGATCACCAAACAAACTTTCAAAAATTACTACTGGGAACAAAAAATGATAATCCATCATTTTCTAATAAGTTAACCTCAACAGCACAACTGAAATAATCATAGAAAAATATGGAAAAAAGATACCTGAAAGCATCACATTATTTTGATATTGTATTTGACATCAATACACAGGCCCTTGCACGTGCTTCCTAACAACTCTGGTACATGATACGTTTAGCCACAGAAATAATCCCTCAACCTGAAAAGATGGATGAACAAATAAAATAACATTCCCGTCAAGCCAAATAAAATGAAGTTACAAAATGGAAAACAGCAAGTACGAAAAGCAAGTACATGCATCACCAATAGATCACTCCATTTACAAAAGCATGTAATTATATTTCAAAGGGGTTTCAAAGGAAAACTCAAATTATGATTTATCACAATATGCCAGATCTAACAAAACCTTGAAATATAAAATATAAATAAAACAATGACACTGCACAATCACTCTCTCTACCTCGAATAAAGACATCAAACGAGTTGCTGTACTTTGCATCATCATAGCATGGCATGGTGTAGAAAGGCCTAACAGCCAATGGATAGCGATGAAGAATGTAAAACTCAGTCCCATACCTATAACGAAAAGCGAATAGTCCACTCGATAACTTTCTCTAAAGCAGGGAATAATGCTTAGGAAATATGGAAAATCACAGAATATGGAATTAATTCTCTAAAACAAGCTGGCCTAATTTTCTCTCTGCTTCTGTATTCAAGTCCCCATGAGGATGAACTTCCACTCCTGCTTCCTGCACAAAGAAGGCACATGCTTTCCAACCAGCACAAGTGATAATGCAGTGGTCTTATAACGAATATTAACCATCTCGCATTTAAAGATCAACTATATTGAATATTAACCATCTCGCATTTAAAGATCAACTATATTAATTGCCAAATGCTTTATTCTTGTCAAGCACCATCACAGCCAAACTATTTCTCAAATATACATCAAGGCACTCCAACAAACAAAGCACAGACATGGATTGAAAATACTCGAGATGGAAAACAAAATGCAGGGGAAGTGTTTCAAGTCCATCTATGACTATAGAACGCTAGATAAATTTGGTACTGACATTTGAGATGGATAATTAATGAATTGTGAGACAATCTGATCTGAAATCTGCATCTCCCATCAAATTGATCAACACAACCAAACCTAATTTTGCATCAGTTTCGTGTATAAACAATTTCGTGTATAAACATGAATATTAATTCTAAACTTACTAAAAGTATCGTATATAAAACCACTAAAACAGGCAGGGAGGACAAGGCAGGGAGGAAGAAGCAACGAAAATAGATTTACTGAAATTAAATAATTTAATCAGAAGTAAAAAATGAAGTTCTGCTCGTTACATGAAAAGTCCAAATGTAGAAATCCCCAACAGCAATAAAAACTTTCAAACTAAAAAAGAAAATAAAAAGGCATACTCAGAAGTGATTCTGAGGTACTAGATGATGTTAATTTGTAGAACAAATAGGCTATAAACATGCAGAAGATGTTCGCCAGAGTAAGAGTAGGAAAGATATATGCCAGCTATTTTTTCCTTAACTCCATTTTTCACAGATCAATTCTTTAGGAGATTATGGTGATACTATGTATTATTAAAATAATTAACATAAGTAAAATACACAAAGCATGGACACGTTCATTTGTGCAACTATTTATCCACTTACCTTGAGCATTTGGATCCCTTCTTCAAATCTTAGTCGTAGAGTCTTTTGCAGGCACTGCATATTGAGAAAATGTCAACAATCAGATCTATCATGAGGGATTAATTGAGACCGACTAAAATCGGTAACAAAATTGCGACCGATGTGCGACTTATGGACAAACAGTCGCTAATTGTAGTGCTAAAATTCCCGCGATTTTGTTTTTCGGTTTGCGACCGATTTGCGACTACCTTAAATTCCGTCGCAACATTGCGCGCTTCAAAATTAAGAATAAGTTCTGAGACCGATTGGCGACCGATTATATGCGACCGACACTTTCAGTCGCAAATCGGTTGCAATTTTATTGCGAAGTAAAACGACGTCGCAGAGTTAAAATTTGCGACCGATATTAATGAAATTTGCGACCGATTTGTCGGTCGCAAAAATTGCGCCGAGTTTGTCGGTCGCGCAAAAATTTAGGGCCTTTAAATGTCCAAGACGCGCCCTCGCGTTCTTCTTTCTTTCTCTCCTCCTCCCTCCCTCTCCTCCGTGCTCACGCCACCAGCTTCTCCTGACGCCTGCTCCAGCCGCTTGATGCCGCCAGCTCCCGCTCTGTGGAACTCCGGTCACTCCCATTTGCTGTTGAAACGAATTTCAGGTAAGTTGTGTTTGCGAATATTTCGTTTTTTTTTTTTTTTGCGAATTTTAATTAGTAAGAAATTATGGTTGGTTTTGGTATAGTGTGCGATAGAATTTTTAGGTACTGTTATTATTATGATTATTATGTTATCCTATGTATTATTATTGTTATATTGATTATTATTATTATTATTATTATTATTGATTAATTATTATTAATAATTATTATTATATTACTGTTTGTTGTTGTTATTATATTTAGTATGTATTGTTAACTGTGTTATTATTATTATATTATTAGATTAATTATTATTATTAATTATTATTATTAGTTATTATTATTATTATTATTATTATATTATTATTATTGTTCATAGTGTTAATTATTATTATTAAATTATTATTATTATATGTTGTGTTGTTGTGTTATATTATTATATTATTATTGTGGATTGTTATTATTATATTATTATTGTTATTGTTGTTATGAATATTATTGATTATTAATTATTATTATATTTATGTTATGTATGTTAATTGTTATTGTGTTATATTATTATTGATTATTATTGTTATTGTTATTTTATAAAAAATAATTTATTTCTTGTAGTGTTACCGAAAAATGTAAAAACTCCTAAATTCACGACATAATATATTATATCCACAATTTTTCAATATTCTCATGAAATAGGTACATGAAATCAATATTACAGTAAGTCCTCAATCACCTAATTAATTGAATTAACCATTTGACCTATAGATTCACATTTATTTAATTAAGGTCCTAAATTTTACTAAGTCCTTCAATCTTAGAACCTTAATTAGTTATTATCAAATTAATCCAATTGTCCAACTAAATTGTCCAATAGGGTCCCTCATAAATAGAGCTCATTAAGTCATTATCCCCTTGAATTTTCCTACTAGGTCCAAGTTTAGGCCCAAATTCGCAACGGTACCTAATTTCCATCTAATTTCTCTCAAAGTCCTTTAATTTAAAATTTGAGATTTAGTCCTTAATCATATAATTATTCTTAAATTTTAAATAATTAAATTAATCAGTTTGCGTGAGGTTTGGCCTCTTGTGATTTCTTATAAATCAAGTCCTGAAATTTCCTTTTTCAATAACAATAAGCATTCTGAATCCATCCATTAACATGTAAAAAAACACTTAAATCACCAATAATAGATCAAGTAAAATATTAAGATCCCTTAGAGGGTGGTTCGGCCAGCACAAGGAATAACAGAATCAAACATTTTAAATTCAAACAAAGGTACATATCATACTAACATCTCAAAAACCAAAATAACAAAGCCTTAAAATAAGAAAACAAGGCATAAAATCAAAGGAAATCCCCGGTGGAGGTTCGGCCTCCTAAGGACTTTTTACATCAAATGCATATAATTTATACCAAGGGTGAATTCACATATTTACAACATAGTTAAACTCATTTAAGTACTTAATTTCACTAAAATAAAACATTTACACACATAATATGAAAAATCACACAAAAACTATAAAGTACCAAATTTGGGAAAAAAGAATGTAGATTGCTTACACAATTAGGTCGTAATAGGCTCCTTTGTTTTAGGCTTCGAGCTATTACCCTCTAAAAACACAAAAACTCAAAATCACTATAAGGATATTTTAGTAAAAAAAAAAAAAAAAAAAAAAAAAAAAACTAAGTCCAAATAAAGTTATAAACTTGCACATGATACATGAATACAGAATAGCAATAATAGATCGAAGCTGAATTGTTATTACATTAATTTAAAAATTACTCTTTTATGAATTATGAAATGAAGCATTTTATTTTGTATTGATTGTTGTTTAATAGATTCTTAATTATTTTTTTAATATGAATGATCTTGGGTTGGTAGGCCCTATAGTGGCCATTTGCCTTTTGGAAGAATTTGTGTAATGAATATAGATAGTTGTTTATTGAAGTGTCTTTATAGTTGGAGATCTTGATTTGTTGTGCCGAAGTGCTGCCCGAATTTTTTTCAAAAAAAAAATAATATGTTATTAGTAAACATCTTAATCGATTTATTAGCTAGGGAGAAGGTATTGAAATTACTTAGTAATAAATGAACTTAGTGAATTACATTAATATATAGTTACCCTTATTATAGAAAATGACCTTAGTAAAGTTAGAAGTGTAATTTGATAACATTGACATTGTGGCATGTTTGTAAGGAATGGTTTAGACTAAGTGCAATTAACATACTAATTTGCCCTTTATACCAAAAACACAGTGTTAAGTTAGGTAAAAAAATGTCGAACGCCTAATCGATGATTGGATGTACTGAGTTCGAGGTCATGGGGATATAAGGACAATAGAGATTTCTCAAGGATTGGAGGCGTTTTATACAGTTTAGTTTGGGGTAATCCTAGTTGTTATGGGATGGTAAATAAGTTGAGGTGTCCCATTGTAATCACAGAGAAGTGTCGAAATAGAGCCTTCTTATACATCGATACAGTGAAAACTCAAATTGTGCAAAGTTATGGGTTCGTGGAAAATTATTAAGAATGGATACATCATGTGAACCTCGAGTTGTCGCAGTGGGTCAGGACACTTTATTTCGGTAAGTGTAGAAAGGTCCAGCCTTATTCAAATTTCCTGTTATGTATACAATGCAATGGATATGGTAAGTCGATGCTGAGTAGTAAGAATGATCAGGGATAATATAGAAGGATCGCCAAATGTAGCAGCACACAATTGTGTTTGACATGCTTAAGTGCAGCTAAACACGTGACTGTGGCCTTGATGCAAGAAACATTTTCAGTTCTATCTTATTGTGGCACGATTACTACAATATAAACAGATCACCATTTTCAGAAAAAGGTGGTATGAATTTTGTGCAGTTAGCAAAGGAAATTTGCCTGAGCCATTCAATGGTTGATATTTTATCCGGACAAAAAATTAGTTTTCCGGGATTGGGAACCTAACCTCGTAGAAAAGATTGATTGTTGTGTAATAATTGTATGATATTCTGGGGTGTTGACTCGGAATTCAATACTGCAAGTTTTATAATCTTCCAAGATGTCAAAGGCGGGATCAAAGGACTGGTAAGTACAAAGAGAGAGGCTTTCCAAGAAGATTTGTAATTATTTTCGCTCTTGTTTCCTCGCCTTCAAAGGTATATGCATCTAAGGTTGGTACAGCTGAACACATGAACATGGCATGTCTGTGCCATGATATGCAGAATGTTATAATGACTCATCCGCCAGAACTCCTGAGCATGGAAACATTGATAAACACTCATCCTGGTGTTGCTGCTGATATGAAAACTGTGAGATTTGGCTATTGTATTGATGGGTTAGCCGTTTGGCCAAATCAGGACAGAACAATGATTCATCATGGCCTGTCATTGTCACACCTAATTAATCTTACACCGTTAATGTGTATGCAAGAGAAATATAATTTTTGTGTGTTACTGTTCCTGGCCCCTACTAATTCCTGAAACAAAAATTGATGTGTTTCTGCAGCCTTGTATTGCCGAACTAATTTATTATGGGAAATATGGGGTGAACGATATTTCAACCAATCAGAATTTCATAATGCGAGCTGCTTTGCTTTGGACCATCAGTGATTTTCCAGCATTTGGAATGTTATCTGGGTGGAGTACGGCAGGAAAATTTGTTACTCGGTATAGTTATTTTCATATTGCTTTACCATAGGTTTGAACTTAACTTTAAAACAGATAAAAGAAAATAATGTTGGAATTTAGCATGCACATACAAATTCAGGAAAATGCAAATGAACTATAATTTTGACAAAAACACATATTTTTAGACTCAATCTACAATTTGCCCATATTTCACCATTTTTGACAAAAAAAACTCATCATCTTATATATAAACTTACAAAATACCCGTTTTCTAACTTGATAAGAGGCGTCTTCTACAAACAGAGTTAAAAGTGAATGAGTAAGGCGAATTATTTATTCCTCTTATCTCTTTGTGCCATATGATACCTTTGCCGACTTCTCAGTTCTTTCATATTTCAACTTTTTCATGTCTGTATCCCTAAAACCTAAGAAATAAAAAAAATCTGTTCAACACTGTCATGAACATTGAAGGGAAAAACCAAGGCATAATGCAAAAGCGAGAAATCAGACATGAAGGAAATTTGTCGTCGACCAGAACTCGAGCACATATGTTACTTACTGGTAAGTTTCCGAAGGCATGTCATTGTTTAGATAAAACCAAAGGCACTTAATTGGTGCGAAATGGGTACGATCATTAAGGTTTCCCAGATGGAATACTGTTCCAAATATGTGGTAGACGTGTGGAATGAGGAAGTACAGATTGTTTGGCATGAAACGCCATGACTGTCCTGTTTTCATGGCAAAGGATTGATCGCTGTGGCATTTCCGGGAATTATTACCAGGAAAAATTTGGGAAGGTAATAACAAGAAAATTGAGTCTCTTTTTCAAAAGGAATTGGACGATGACTGTTATCCGATATGATGATATGGACCAGTTAGCGCGAGAAAATCCCAGTAGTGATGTGCAAATTGGAGCGAATTTTTCCACCCGGCTTCTTTTGATTCTATGGAACAATCTGCCGGTTCATTATGCCCTAATGAATGGTCGTGTATCAGGAACCGGTTCAATATCGATGGATGTATCAATTTGAAGAAGGGTGACAATAACATCCCATTTCTAATCTTACACTCATTTATTTGAACTCAGTACTTACATAATTAGTCATTGTTACAATATGACAGACACCGTGCAGAAAATTAAAAAGAAATGTTGCCGCAATAAGGCAAAAGGTCGAGGGATCAATTTGCAAATGCATATTTGGTGGAAGAAGCTCACATTCTGTTCACAGACTACTCTTTGACCAAACATGTTTTTCACCAAGCATCAGAGAGTGCCCCACGTAACGATGACGGAGGTAGATCGAGATACAATCTGAGTTTTTGAAGTTAATCTAACAATTTCACCCATCTGGGCCGTAACGATTGGTAAAAAAAAAAAAAAAATAAAGAAACGATTGACTGATGTAGAGATACGAAGCGCTCAAACCTATATTTTTATTGAATTGCGAAGAGGATTACACCATTTTGCTAGTAAGTAAGTATACATATTGTAGACCAGTCTAGATCTGGCGTGGGCCGTAAGTTTTAATCATACTTTAGCTTAATTTGTTATGCTAATTTGGTTCATTGATAAATAGGAAATATATCAATCTTTTGCGGCTTCAAAATCCCAATTTGACTGATACTGCAGTTGATGCAAAGTTGGACTCCGAATTTGCAGAACGGTTCAAATATTATGTAAGTTACTTTCAATGTACACAACATGGAATGTACATTTATTAAATCTCACTCCTGCCTTTACTATTTCCCATAGGCTCGAAGCTCGGGAATCGATATTGGTAACAGATTCATTAAAGGGACTTTTACCGGTTGCTAATGCCTACTCTGGCTACTTTGTAAATGGTTACAATTTTTACACTGAGGGTTATGGGAGAAGCAAAAAGACAATGAACAGCAGTGTTTGCATAAAGGGATCAAATTACAGTGACGTGTCAAACGATTTTTATGGGAAATTGGTTGAGGTTTTTTGAGGTTTTGGAGTTAGAATATCCAGGCCTAGCCCAATGAAGTGGCACAATCTTATTCAAATGTAAATCGGTTTGATCTACGCCAAACCGTTGGCAACGAAGGTTCATCCTAAGTAATAATCTGGTAGAATATTAATTCAAGAAGAAGATATACAAAGTATGAAACACTTTTGTGTTTGGCAATGCAAGCTGCCCAGGTGTACTATGTCCCATATCCATCGTTTAAAACGAGATCGTTGCGATGTGGATGGCACAGTGTGTTAAAATTAAGGCCTAGATCAGTTGTTCATGCACCTTGAAATCAAAAACAATCTGCTTCAACTCGCAGTATCAGAGCAATTTCAAGAAGTTAGGGTTTGGATACGCAACCGATGCAAGTTGTTTGAAGATTTAAACGGATAGATTGGATGAGTGAAAGCCGATTCTTTATGTTGAAAATAAGAGCATCGGATGATGAAGAGGAAGAAAATTAAATCATCATGGGTTACCTCGGAAGGACGAAATATAAAGAAGAAGAAGATGATGAAGAGGAGGAAGGAAGCAGATGATATTGAAGACAACTTAATACTTCTAGAGCAGTTTTACTATTACAAATTGATAAATGTATATCTAAATTAATATATTATTAATGAAGAATTTCAATGTTATTAACTTTCTTTACTCCATAAATTTTTACCTTCACATGTTTCTCAATTCATATAAATTACAATTCATATAATTGTATAAATTCATTTTATCTAGGTTCTGATATCTGCAGTACAGATGGCTAGAGGCAGAGCGTTTGATTCAGACATGTCCGGCAGTGGTTCGCGTGGAGGTCGAGGCCCAGGACGCAGTGCCCATGGATGAGGAGGGTCTATCCCTCCTTCTTCTTCAGGTACGTCTGGGGCATCATCCTCTGCTCAGCGACCAATACTGTCGCCATCACATCCTTCTTCAGGTACGTCTGGGGCTTCATCCTCTGCTCAGCGACCAGTACTGCCGCCATCACTTCCTTTTATTCCTTCCTCTTCTACCCCCGTTTCTGGACCAGTACAGTCTCCACCAGTTGCACAGTCACCTACTGTGCAAGGTAATCATAAATGTCATTACTGTCATTTTAATTATATATTAATTATCTGCATTTATAGCATTTGTATTAATTATGCTGCATTTATAGCATTGTCACTTCTTTTGCAGCTTCATTCAAAGATTCCACGTATCAGCCTCAGTTTTAGTAGTGGAACAGAAGTCTTTATTCACTTTTTCAAAAGGCATATTTTTATTCAAAATTGTGAATGCTTTGCATCTAATTTATATTGACTTCTGTTTTTTTTTCTCCAGTAAGTATATCCATTCTTCTCGAGCATCGAGGCAAATTAAATGAGGGATAATCAAGCTAACAGCTTGCAAAAGAAGGATGCACATTGGATTGCCGTACTAGAGAGGCGAGAGAAACTTTATTAAGAGGAGTTTTCAGGTACGCTTTGGTTTAAGTTAGTATCATCATTTCAATGTTTACAATTTCATCAAGATACCTTCCTTAAGTATTGGAAACGGCTATTTTTCATTTTTTGCAGAAACATTTCATATGGGACGAGGCCATTACGGCTATGCTGAAAGTTGGCCTGGGAAGAAGTTATGCGCTTTGATCGATATGCCTGACTTCACCTATAGGAATGAGAAGAAGCGGTAAGAAGCAGTAGTGCCGTGTCTCAGGAGAGATAATGGGAGAAGCTGGCAAAAGGTTTGGAGGATCCTGCATTCAAGAGAAAAGCAGGAGATATTTTCAGCAAAAACAGGCGCAGTGAGACTGGTGGTGATGGAGCATGGAACCTTCTCGACACACAGGCCGGATCAATATCTGCCTTTTTTATAGAGACAGCTCAATTATTAGTATGTGAATAGTCAACAGTATATTGAAACTAAATGTTTAATGGAAAGGTACTTATAATATATTAATATAATCATGCATAAAACTTCAATTACAAGGCTTAAGAATTAGGTCGTGAGCCAACACCTGATTGAGGTTGTTTTACATACACTCACACGAAGGAACCACACGATCTTAATACGTTTTGTCAAAGACGTGCCGGTGAGCGTCATGTAAGTAACAATGAATAATAAAGCTTGTTGTGTAAGAAATGTAACAAAAGTTCAGTATAATAAAGCTGCAAGTTGCATTGATTAATTAATTTTTTTGTTTTCAGGAAGAACTATACTACAGCTCGGGAGCGTCTTTTGTTTCTTTCTCAGAGCTGATGACATCTGAAGCTGAAGCTGAGTCAAGAATTGACGAGGTAGCACTTTATCTCGAGAGTATGGGGGGGGCGAGAAGAAGAGGAAGGTATACGGCATCGGGTCTTAGGCATCACAGTTTTACTGCGGCTCAGCATCTCACGCTTCTGCACCCAGTGCATGACCATAGCCCGAGCACACTACCGAGGAGTTTATTGAATTACAGGCTCGTGTTGATGATCAGCAGAGACAAATTGCAGAACTTAGAGCGCATGTGATGCGACTGTCCAGTGCTGGTACTTCTTCCTCTGATCCTGCGCCTGCTACAAATCGAAATGTTTCGACATCTCAGCAGTAGCCACATCCGTCTCCTGATCTCGATACTGCAGACAATACCTTGGTCACCCCTCTCGGCACTACAGCACATCCAGCAGATACTCCTCCCGGCGATTCGACATCGGATCGTGCAGATGAGCAACCGCGTAGATTTGATTTTAGACCTTTTTAGTTTTTCATTTGTTTTTTAACATTTTGTTCATTCTGTTCAGACAATAACAATTACAATTTTTATATTGATCTGAATTGCGTTTGTGAATATTATATATATATATATATATATATATGATGTCAATTTCACAGGTTGCTGAAAAAAATTTTATTGGGTTTCATAATAATATTTAATTTTTTTTATTTTTTCAAATTTTGGACGATCGATTTGCTAACAAAGAAAATAAAATTTTAAATTTACAATTTGTGACCGAATTTCATAATTGCGGACAGTCAGACCTTTTTCCTGCGACCAATTTGTGTCACGCCCGTAAACGAGGGGTGCCATAGAGGCGAACTTATATCTCATTCTTTGATTCGATCCGTATCAGCTTAAGGCCCCCAAAGCCCCGTAGTAAACCTAAATTATTTAAAACTCATATGCTATTCATAATTATGGATTCAGACCCATTAACTAATTTCACCAATGTATTAAAAATACAATCCATAATATTAATATATATGCTCTTATTATCCAATTACAACCCATCTAGAATACAATTGCAGAACTCTAACTTTACATTTACATCGTTATTTAAATCATTAACAGCCTTCTACAATAAGTGTTTCAACTCCATAAGCCTTTCCTTTCTTTCTATTACCGGAAAAAAAATAGGTAGGCAGGGGTGAGCGCCAAACTCAATGAGTAGGGTTAGATAACCGTCTCACCCACATAATCACACAGATACTAAAATATTTTAATCTGGTCACTCGTTTAGTTATATGATCATGCAGTTTGTCACACAAATGGCAATACAACAGCAATCACAGTTATTATCACCTTCATCATCATAATAAATATCATGTGAATTAAGTCCAGTGGATGTCACCTAAAACCCCGATGAGCCGTCCTCCCACAATGGCCCATCCACTCAGCCATGTGCACCAGGGAGCCAATCCCCTTATTCTTGGCTGACGGTATTAAGCCTCACAACTGCCGGTCCTCTGATTATTTCCAGTCTCTCTCTCTCTTTTTTTTTTTTTTTAAAAAATATATATATATACCAACAGGAGGCAACTCGGTGGTCTCCATCTAATCTAGATCATCAAGCGCACACAACAGGAGGCCACCCTGCGGGCTCCAATCAAATCTAGATTATCAGGTGCGCAACAACAAGTAGCCATCCTGTGGTTAATGATAACGGTAACGGTAATGGTAACGGTAGGTACACACGGGGGCGCCGATCTCCCATTTACTTGGCCGACGGTCCAACCATCCTCACAAACCCATGGTGACCTACTTCATCCCAACTCCACACAAACAGTGACCCACTTCATCCCAATTCCACATAAACAAGGCACAACAATATCACATCACAAGTAATCAAGCAATATTTAATATCAACAAATAGTGCGTCACAATATGGCAATAATGCATGATAACATTTAGCCGTGAATGCATGAATGCAGGCGGATGAGGCGAATTATCTAACACTATTCACTGTTTTTGTTGTCCTTAAAAGGACTGCCTTTCTTATTGTGCGCTTCTAGCCTTTGTCTTCACAGTCCGAAACTTTATAAGCATCTATATAATAAGAAAATTCTACATAAGAATTCTAATTTGGGAAATGCAGTTTACATTCATTTATTTGTTTTCGTTACCCTCGTTACTCGTCGGTTCATTAATTTATCAAACTAACTGTATATCTATAGTGCATCTTTATTTGATTATTTCTTCTAATTTATTCATTAAGTAAAACGTCTAGTTATTCGGTAATTTATATTTTATGATAATACTAATCAAAATATTAATATGATTAATAATAATAATATAATAATAATTATTAATAATGATAATACGAAATTATCATATAATATTCATTATAATATTCATAACGTTAATAACTTTAGTCGGTATTTAATTTACTGAACTATATATAAATTCGTTTCTCTTGTTTATTTATTTATTTGTTTATTTATTACTGTCATAATCTTATTCTATATTTTTAATTTCTATGAATAATTTAATCTCTATAAGTAATTTAATTTCTAAAATAAATTTTATTTTCTACCGAAATTTCGGCAGTATCACCCCTAAAAATTGGACTATCCACCTGATAAAATATCAACAATTTATCTAATAACTCCAAACCACATAGTCCATCCATCGGGCAATCAATCAATTCAATTTTCTCATCCTCCATCCAAATATCAATATCAACATTACATTTAATTCTCAATTCCTCATTTCATTCATTCCATAATATTAATTATCACAATTCCCTCAATAAATTAACAAAGGATTTCAATAATTGAAAATCAAGCATTTAATTTATACAATTTAATACTAAAAATTAAATTAACTTAATTTAACTACTCAACAATTACTAATTTAATTTAACTACTCACAATTACTAAATTAAATTAACTAAATTAATTAACTTCAATAATAAAATTAATTTAAGTAACTAAAATTATTAACATTAATTTTGTTGCCCCAAAATATAATCTTTTGTCTAATTTTCAATAGATCGGGAATTCTTACGCGTGTCGGATCGAAGACTGTCAAGCGGTGGCCGGAGATGCACTGGTGCAGCGGCAGAGCTGCTGTGACGTGGAGTGGTGGCGATCGGCGACGGTGGCGAGCGATCCGGCGGAGAAACGATTGGCGGCGTAGCTGTGATGGACATCCGTTCGACCTACACTGGCTGGACCGGTCGGAGGAGCAGCAACGGCGCGATCTGGTGTTGCGCTGGAACTGCGTGCGGCTGCAACTGGCTTAACAGGGGGCGGAGGCGGCGTGCGGTGGTGATCTGTGGAGGATCGCACCTGTTGGTGGTGGCTAGACTCGACGCAGACGCAGACGCAGTCACAAGCAAGAAGAAAAGGGAAAGAAGAAGAAGAAGAAGAAGAAGAGAGGAGAGGAGGGTAGTGGCGCTGGTCTATGCGGTGGTCGGAGGCTTAGTGAATGGGTGAGAAAGGATGCGCACGCTGGATATAGAGGGAGAAGAGCTTCTAGATGGTTTGGGTCGAATTGGTTCGGTTCGGTTTTATATTCGGCCCAAATCTTCAATTTTCAACTGATTTTCGACTTTTTCAATCGGTTTTCGATTCGGTTTCTCACAGTATTTGCATTAAAATATTAATATTAATTTCTGAGCTGTCGGTTCATTAAATTTAATTGGATAATTTTTGAAAATAAAAAATCGAGTTATTTCAATTTGCGATAGCGTTTCCAAATGAAAACACGACCAAAATTTGCGACCGATTTTTCAATTTTGCGACCGATTTTATCGGTCGCTAATTGGTGACCGACGAAAAAATCGGTCGCAAAGGAGTTTGCGATGAGCATTTTTGCGACCGATATCTTTCGGTCGCTAATTTCAATTAGCGACTGATTTTTGGCATTTTATCGGTCGCAAAATCCTGTTTTTTTTTTTTTTTTTTTTTTCTCATTCTCTCTAGAATAATGTATCATACAATTTCTTTTTTTTATAGCCAATTAAAATAGGGATATTTAGTATTATTAAATTAAATTATAATTATTTTTTATTTATTCCGGTGTTTTTCTATTTATTTGTACTTATACATACTAGTTTAATTTTTAAGTTGTACAATGTATGTTATTCATATATACTCATTGTTTAAATATATACTCATTGTTTAAATATTAATAATTTTGTTATTAGAATAAAATATTTAGTCCTTAAAATTTTTAATGAGTTAAGATATATAGAGTTCCGATATTAATCCTTGTAATAATAAATCTATATAGTAGATAAGTTATTTTGATATCAGGATTCCTATTACAAGCTATAAAATAAATCTTCTCATTTAACTAGTTCTCCGCATGTCTCGGAAATAAAATTAAAAATGCTTCAATGGATGTACCAGCAACTCAAAAGGATTTTTTGAGTGTGAAGTTTACGTTTGGGACTTGGGAGAAGAATAAGATTTATCGGTTTCCCTCAATTGCAATCTCATAGTGGTCCAGGTCGCACAAGGGGTGTTTTGGTCTTTTTATATGATTTTAACATCTAAAACAGTATAATTTGGATATAGAGATCTTTTAATAAAACCGAGCTAAAAGTAAGAGATGAGTTTAACATTATATTAAATATCGGATATTACTTAAATAATTATGATAAACTTAAGAGACTAAATAATTATTTTTCCAACAATTAATTAATATTATTGAGCTCCGGGGCACAGTAAGAGCAATTCTAAAGGGACAAATTATATATATACTAAAATAAAACCCAAAATCACTGTTCATAGAATAGTGTTACATAAGAATAAGGTGTTTTATACCAATTTAAATCAAAAGTCTTTTATTTTACAAATTCCATTTTACCCTTCTTCTTTGTATCGGTTATTTACAGACAAAACGCTACTTCACATTCTCTAAATTCCACCGATCACAATCTCTTCCTTTTTCCTTGCCGACTTCACCTTCTCTTCTTTTCTTTTGTAATAAACTTAAAAACACTTGGGGCAGAGATTTCGGCTTTTCCTTCTTTTCACAATGAAATTGAAATTAGAGAAATCAATTTTTTTTTGTCTTTTGCTTTGCATGAAACTCATCTCTAGATTTCTTGCTGCATTTTATATTTGAAATTACTGCATATCCTCAATATGTTCATATTCATTGATTATGAGTTAATTAGATTCTTTGAATACTTATATTTAATTTTTCTTTGCTATATTTAATTTTTCTTTGCTGTATCTCGATGCATTTGATGGTCTAGAATTGGGAGAATTTTGATCTTGAACTCACATTAACGAAGCTTAGACCTAAATTTTAGTATTCAGGGTTTTAATTATCTAAATTATTTGTTATGGTTTGAAATTATGAGTGTATGTTTGTTTTATGGATTTCTGTTTCAGGATTTGATATTTATAGTGAAAGTCTGTTTTATTTGGCTATTGAAGATCTTTTCCTTGAGCTTTTTATGATTGGAGATAATTAGATCTGTTATTTCTTCTAATTGGGTAGTTTGGCAACAAGTTATACAAAGTTTACACAAATCATGCCTAGAGATTTCAATTACTGAGCTCAGTGGTCTCCTTCTTTCGTGGAATCATGCATAAAAGGCATAATTACTTTGTTTGTTTACTTTGGATATTACTTTGTTTGTTTACTTTTGGATGCTTCTTGGCATTACACATAAATATAGAAGAAGGAAATAAAAAGCTATGTCAGATTTTATTAATTAAACAAAATAGAAAAAATGAAACATGTTTACGTGAACTGCAGAAATTAAAGGAGCAGCAGCAGGTTTCGTGCGATCCCCAAAAACAAAACAATAAGTGCTGGAATGTAGAAAACAAAATTAAAAAAGATGGAAATTTTTTAGTGCTTTAAAATAATGGAAACGCTTTAAATAATGAAACATAAGGTCCTTGACAATATGGGTTGCTGCATCTTTTGCTTTCTCTTTTATATTTCTTTAGTGTATGCTATCTTTGCTAACTCTAGAGTTGGCAGTGTTTATGCCATTCATGTTGTTACTATTGTTGCGATATTTAAGAAGCATAGTGCATTCTTTGTTTCTTTGATTATCACAATCCAGGTTTTCTCATAAGAGCAAACCAGCTGTTAAGAGCATTGAGATATTTTCTCCCTTTCTCTAAAGCGTATTTGGTTTCTAAGAAACTGGAGAAAAGTGAAAGAAAGTTTGTTTTGACATTGGATATCATTGTTTTTTTGTTGGATTTTGGTTGCCAAAAGGTTTTAAGCCTGACAGTGGTTCCACTGGAAGTGTTTATATGGTAAATTTGTTTTGGTTTTTTGAAGTTATAGTTCAAATAATAAATATTTTAAATTTGATTTCATATTCTTTTGATTTCCTACATTTTCTCATCAATCAAATGGGTATTCCTTCAACTTTTTTTTTGTTCTATAATGTCCATCAATTTTTTTTTTTTTTTTTTTTTTTTTTTTACAATTTTTTTTTTTTTTTTTTTTTTTTTTTTTTTATCTTTAAGCTAAAAATTGGGGTAAGAATTTTAAAGAATCAATTTTTTTTTTTTTTTTTTTTTTTTTTTTTATCTTTAGCTAAAAATTTAGATTTCTAAAGAATCAATGATTCTCTGATTGTTACCTTCCTCTCCTCTCTCTATCTCTCTCCCTGCAATTATTTCTTTTTGGGTAGTTATTGAAGAGATTAAGAAGGCAACTAAAATATGTGTTTTCAATACAGTCAAACAGAACTGAAATGCTAATTACAGCTCCCATTATTTATTTTATTCTTCTGCTTTTTTTTTTTAAATCTGATATTTTTGGTTTGTACATTGTTGAAGACATCAAGATCACTCATTACCATAAACATGATTTCATAATTTATTTGAACGAAAAACTTTTGCTTTATAATTCTGGATATCGTTTTTTTTTTTTTTTCCATGGCTATGCAGAGTCTAGATGGGGATATCATAGACTGTGTTCACATGACTCATCATCTAGCTTTTGATCATGCTTTCCTTGACCACAAGATTCACGTCCATCTCCTCCTATATATTTCTACTTTTAGCTGTTTTAAGTGATTTCTTTGTTGTTATCAATTCTTTTTTATCAGCATTCTTAAGCAAATTATAATACTTGCTTAGCACTAATTTCTTTGAATTTCTATCCATTCTGTGTATTTCTTCGATCATAAAACTAAAATAAATGGAAAAAATTGTGACTAAGTAGCTCAAATTATTTTTTATAGTTAGAATACCAAAAGCTTTTTCTTTGAAAGGAAAAACTTCAAAATCTAAAGGTATAAAAATGAATCTTTTGTAAAAAATTTAGTAATTTTTACAATAAGAAATAGTGAAACAAAAAAAAATCTATGAAATGAATATTTTTTTTTTCAGTGAAAAAATATATAAAAATTTGAGTAAACAATAAATAGTAATTATATCAATAAAATTAGTGATTATATCGATAAAATTAATTTTAATCCGCAGCAAGCGCGGGTAAGTTTGCTTGTTTAACACTAATTTGGATGTTGTCCTTCTCGTTTTATTATTATATATCCTATAATACTCCAATTTACAATGATTATTATATACTCTGTACTAATTTGGATTATTTCATATTTTATTATTTTATATCCTATAATACTCCTATTTACAATGATTATTATATATTCTGTATTATTAACAGTAGATTATGCTATTCAGTATACTTCTTTATGTAAAAATTATTTGTTAATAATATAAATAATTAATTTATATTATTAAAAAAACTAAAAGTATTATGTTATTAAATGAATTATAAATGTAGGATAAAGGGTATTGTGTTCTTTTTTATAGACATTTAATATCATGAAGTATACATTTTTGAAGGATTTATTTATTCAGCGGTCCAAAAATACGGGGAGCAAGTAATATACTTTTGAAACACAACAACTAAATAGTTATTCGCACTCAACCAAAGGAACTAAAAAGTAATTATTTTATATAATATATAGTGTTTAGAGATAATATTTTTATAAATAATATATTCTCTTTGTTTTATTTTAAGTGTCATTCAAGAGCCTTAAACAAAGTCACTTAAGAAAATATTTTTTTTTTAATTTAATTTATATATCATTTTAGAAAATTATAATATTACATCTGTTTCATAATACTTGTCACATTTGAAAAATAATTTATTCTAAAATACTTATCACATTTGTGGTTTCAAGGAACAATAAATCTTTTTTTTCTTCATATTAACCATTTGTATATGATCAGTAATTATTACTTTAATTTAATAGTTTTCTTAGAGAATTAATATTAAATGAAGGGTAATATAGTTAATTTACTTAATAATTTATTGTAATTTAGATAAAATGGTTTTCTTAAGAGACATTGAAATTTTAAATGTGACAAGTATTATGAATAGAGGTAGTAATCTCACTGTCAATCAAAGTTAAATTTGAAAACTGTATTATTCTTCGATATCTGTATGTGTTAACAATTTTTGTAAATCATTGAATCATTTCTTTTCCCTTTTT